TATTTACCATTTTAAACCTCAGCAAAAAAAGTGACATATATGTTTATTTCCTTGGTATTCACTATTCAGTAAACTTTTTATTAAGGGCCTACTGTGTGTGTTCAGCTCTGGAATATATGACGTCACCAATCTGAGTCATTTCTTTTTTCCAATAACCCTGTGATTTAGAGTTGTCGCCTTACATTACAAGTTAGGAACTGAGGCACAGAGAGCTAAAGTGACCTGCCCCAGGTCACATTGCTGGTAAGATTCAAAATAGACTCTTTGGTCACCAGAGATACTGTTTTTATACCAGTCTTGCAGCTGCCTCTCCAGTTGGAGTTGTTGTGGAGACTGTGCAGTGAGCTGTCAAAATATTAGCAAAGGTATGCACCCTTGTCCATCAGACGACAGCATTTCATTGGTCTAATTTTACCAGCCTATTTATTTAGTGACATAGTATAAGTTGGTTCAATATAGACAAAGGGTGGAATTTTTGGCTTCTTGCCTAATCTGGTTTAAATGTACTTTTAAAGATGTCTCCTTCAAAAACCACTGTTTTGCTTAATGAGGAGACACTAGAAGCTTTCCCACTAAAGTCATGAGAAAAAAGAGTACTCACTATTGAGCTAGTGTTATTTAACATCTCCTTGGGAATACTGGACAAGCAAATTGGACAAAAGAGAAAAATGAGTGTTATAAGAAGTGGAAAGGAAGAGAAAACACCATTGTTATGCACAAATAGAATTGTATTGCACCTGAAAATCTAAGAACCAAGTGAAAACTACTGCAAATATTTAAGAAAACTCAGTAGGTAAGATGTAAAATTAATGTGTAAAATAAATCGCTTCACATATGCAAGCAACTGTCCGTTAGAAGATGTAATAACAAGTAAGATCTCCATTTTACAAAGCAACAAGAAAGATTATATACCTAGGAGTTAAATACATACGGAATACAGAAAACCTACATGAGGAATTCTTTTAAACACTTTGATGTTCATCACCTAAACTCATTGATCAATCCCAGCATTGCTAAAAATGAAACAGCCAGACATACGCTTCCTGATGTAATACGATATGACGTACCCTTACTCAGAAGTGTAACCTGAATCTGATCAGCACTTATAAGATAAATGGAGAGTAGAAGGACAAATTATACATAATGAAGCAAGCAGAAAAGTCCAGAACATGTGACATTACATAGGGCAATTGATTTATTCCTCAATAAATTGAAGGCATAAAAGGGAGAGGGATACTGCTATAGACGAAGAGATTTAACAAGCAAATGTAACGTGTGGATGTTGTTCGGATCCTGATTCGCACAATTTCAACTATAAAAAGTATTTTTGAGTCAACTGGGGAACTTTGAATATGGACTGTGTATTAAATGAGAATAAGAGGAAGAGTTTTGGTAGGTGTAATTATGGCTTTGAGGTAATACAAGAAAATATCCACATTTTTTAAAGAAATGCACATTAAATAAACGTAAAGGGTAAAATGAAATTATATTTGGGATTTACTTTATAATAACTCATGGGAAGTAGAGACAGAAAGAAGTGTCCAACTCTTAATATCGTTTGTATTAATTTTCTAGGGCTGCCCTAATAGGGTAGCATAAACAGAGAAAAATATTTCTCACTGTTTACAAGGCTAGGAGTTCAAGATTAAGGTATTAGCAGGTTAGTTTCTTCGGTGACCTCTCTCTTTGGCTTGCAGATGGCCACCTTCTCATTGTGTCCTCAATGGTTTTTCTCTGTGCCTACACATCCCTCGTGTTTCTTTGTCTTAATGTCCTCATATAAGAATACCAATCAGAAACTGGATGTGGTGATGTATGCCTGTAATCGCAGTACTTGGGAGGCTGAAGAAGTAGGCACTTGAGCTTGAGAGCAGCCTGGGCTACATAGTGAGACTGGTTTCAAAAGTAAAAACAAAACACCTGTCAGCTTGGATTAGAGCCCACCTTAAAGGTCTTCTTTTAGCTGAATTATCTCTTTAAAGGTCCTGGCTCCACATTCTGAGGCACTGAAGGTTAGAGCTTTGATATATCAATTTTAAATGATGAGTGTATGAGAGTTTGTCCTATTTGCTTTTATGGATCAAGAAAAATGTGTATTAGATACAACAGTCAAGAAGAAGACATGAAGGTAGACCTGAGCACATTGAAAAGCCTAGCTTGTCCATTGAATAAAAAGATTCACCATCAGAAAGACAGCAATTACCCCCAAGGGAACTTATGATTTTTAACACATCTCAGTCAATATACCAATATTCATTTCCTAGAACTGAACAAGATTATAGTATGTAGAAAAACAAGTAAACAAGAATAGTCAGGAAAACTGTAAAGGAAAACAATGGGGTACAAAGCAGACTTACTAATAATTAAAATAGCATGATGTATGTGCTTGATGGAAGAGCATAAAATCCCAAAATAGACCTAAGGACATATGGAAATTTAATATCTGATAAAAGCTGCTTCTCAAATCAATGGAAGTAGAAACGAACTTTCTATTCAATGATGTCTGGACAATGGGGAAGCCATTGGAGAAAGATTAAATTAGACTCATGCCATACATCAGTACAAAATTCTAATAGATCAGAGATTTAAGTTTTTTTAAACCCAGAAAACCATTTAAGTAATAAAGGAAAACCTTGCTGTAAAAAGCCTTTGTAACTATCACTCAAAATTCAGAGGCCTTTTTTTTTTTCTGAGAATGGAACTCACTCTGCAGCCTGGCCTTACTCATAGGCCAGGTTGGCCTTAAACTCATGGTCTTCCTAAGTGCCAGGATGACAGGTATCTACCGCCATGCCTGACAAGAGGCCATTTTTAATATGGTTGACTAATATCACAAATCAAAACCTTCTCATGATATTTGAGTGTGCATGTATCCATACACACACACACACACACACACACACACACACACACACACACAATAAGCAAGGTTAAAAGACAAAGGACAAATGAGTAAAAACATTTGTAACTCATCACAGACAAAGGACTAATTTATCTAATTTTATTTACTTCCTTGTTTATTTTTACTTATTTGCAGTGCTGGGGAATCAAACCCAGGGCCTCAAGTATGCTAGGCAGTTCCTGTATAACTGAGCCATGCCCCCAGCCCCTCCCTAATTTTTAAGAGTTCCTAGAAATCGAGGAAAGATAATAAGCAATGTTTTAAAAGGCAGTTGTGGAAGTACATGAACAGATTGCCCACAAAGAAAGAAATTCACATGGTCCTTAAACATAAAGAAATGTTCAACTTCTCTCAAAATATAAAAAATACAAATTTAAAACCACTTTGACCCTGAGCGCTAGTGGCTCACGCCTATAATCCTAGCTACTAGGAGGCAGAGATCACGAGGATCACAGTTCAAAGCCAGTCTGGGCAAATAGTTCCCAAGACCCTATCTCGAAAATATCCAACATACAAAAAAAGGGGTGGTGAAGTGGCTCAAGGACAAGTCCTGGAGTTTAAACCCCAGTACGCAAAAAAAAAAAAAAAAAAAAGGCACACACGCTGAGGTTATTTTTTCTCCCCTATCAGTTTGGCCAAAGTTGAAAAGTGTGTTACCACACCCTGTCTAGCCTGGGGAGAAAATAGACATTCTTCTACATTACAGTCCCCATATTAATTTATTATGGTTGCCATAACAAAGTGCTACAGTACTACAAAAATTTATTTTCAAATATTCTGGAGTCTATAAGCTTAATTTTAAGGTGTTGGCAGGAATGGTTTCTTCTGTGGTCTCTCTCCATGGTCTGTAGACAGCCATTGTTTCCCTGTGTCTTCTATGGTCTCTTATGTGTCTGTGTCTCACCCTAATAACTTCATTTCGGTTTCAGTTACTTCTGAATTATCTCTTTTAAAGACTAACCTTATCTCCAACTCTCCAAACGCATTCATATTTTGAGTGGGGGTTAGAATTGCAACCTAAGGGCTTTTTTTGGTGGTGGGACTGGGGTTTGAACTCAGAGCTTCACACTTGCTAGGCAGGAGCTCTTAATGTTTGAGCTCCCCCACCAGCCCTACAACCTAAGTTTTATGGGACACAATTCAACCCACAGCCCTGATGAAGGGAAATCTAAAAATAGTTATCAAAATCACCATGCATTACCCTTGACCAGCATGCCATTTCTGGAATCTGTTCTACAGAAACACCTGCACACATAGGAACTGAAATACATATGAAGCTATTCATTCATTTCAGCCTTGTTGAGTTAGAAATATCCATTTCAGACTGGTTGAGAAGGCTATGGTTCATCTATGCAAAACAGTACAGCTGTAAAAAGCAACAAGGAAGCTCTCCTTGCACTGCTGATGGGAGGGCTTCATGATGTATCAAGTAAGAAAAGGCAGGTAGAAAACAATGCAATAGTGTGCTACTTAAATAAGATAAATCATTTTTTGAAGTACTGGGAATCGAACCCAGGGCCTCATACATGCTAGGGAAAGACTCAACCACTGAGCTAAATGCATTCATACAGTATTTGCATAAGGAAACACTAAAATCTAAACAACTACAACAAAAAAACAAATGAAATTGGTTACTGATAGGAATGTCATGGGATATAGAAAGAAGTGCACAGGAGTGGAGGAGAGGTTTTCTGTCTCCACAGACAGAAACATTTAGACATTCAGATGATGTCTAAATCATCTGAATTCAAAGTAATTTAATCAATATGGTTAAAATATAAGGATAAAGGATACTAGTTTTCACTTCTAAATCTTGTAAATTGAAAACAATTAAAAAGCTGTATATTTTAAAGGCTATATATATATATAGCTTCCTAGCTCAGCCACGGATTTGCTAGTACAATGAGCCCAGCTGTAATCTTTTTACTTTTCAGGATGGAATCATGATGCTTTCTTTCTTTCTCCTTGCAGAAAGGCACTGAGTTTAACGTCCAGTTGGATTTCCATTGACCACAGAAGAACCTGCCCAAATACTATGGAACCCCAGAACTCTGCTGCACAAAAGCTGTTGGTTGTGCAACATTTCAAGAATACAGGAGTGGGCCCTGCTGAAAGTAGGGATGCCTGGCTGGGGGTGGGGACACAAGTGCTCCCTCTGCATCCAGCTGCGAGTGAGATTCCTGAAGGAACCCCTTCCTGTCACAGCACCCACAGCACTCAGCCTGCTCGCAGCCCAAGGACCTCTCCGGGGATGCTACACTTAAAAGTGCAGTTTTTGGATGATTCTCAGAAGATTTTTGTGGTTGATGTAAGTGGAAATCACATCGCTATTGTTCCTTCATTATTCATTCAATAATAGTCATTGTGGACAGCCCATTAGCTGGCAATGTTGTGTCTTCTTTAGGACTGAAGGGAGGACTGTGGATTTTAGATTTGGAAAAGAAATCTGTATTTAATATCACAATGTAGCTCATATTTCCCCATTAACCTTTCTTCTAGAACATGTTCTTTTTTGTCAAGGGACAAAAAAAAAAGCAGATTTTAAAGATACACTAAATATTTATAAAAAGGGAAGACAGTCATAACTTAGTTTTCTTACCCAATAAGGTATTATTATTGTTCATTGAAATTATTTGTGTGTGAGTCTCCCCCCTCCCCGGGTTCTGAGGGGGGGTTCTAAAGAAAGGTTTTTTTGAAGAAAACCTATGGGCTTCAGGGTATAGAATTATGCAGTTCTACCAAGAAATTCAGGCAGTAATGATAAGTATGAAATAGAAAAATAGGATAAGAGGCGATTTAGTTTGATTTAGTACTTATAGTTCAGAGTTCTTAATATAATTCCTAGCTTCAAGATGATTGCATACAATTATACCTCATCTCTTCAAGAAAGAAGAGATGAATTAAGCTCGTCATTTGGTGGTCAGGTTCTAGCAACTTAAGATACGTATCATTTGATGTCAGGATTTATGTATGAGCATTTTGAAATGTTCGACATTTTTTTCGAAATCCAACCTGCTGTTTGCTCTGGTACTTACATTAGCTACTAACAAGGAACAAATAGTTCATTTTCCTGGAAATTCATATAAAATGTTGGTTGTTTTCTTTTTTACGTAAACTGACAAGTACTGTTGTTCAGCCGTGATATTGGGTGTGTGGGTAGCCCATTTTTTTAAATGAGTATTTCGTTTTTAGTTGAATCATGTGCTCTGAGAGTGATGACTTCCTGACTTTAACTGCTGTTTTGCTGTCTCTTCCTTTCAGTTTTCTGTGCAAAAGGCATTTCTAGGTCCACAGACCTGAATGATTTGTTTTTGTAGCAAATAGCTTCCATTAGAGGTATGAGACATTTCCTATTCTTTCTTGGAACTATATTTAAGTGGTGGAAAATGTCTTTTGAGTAGCTTATCCATTTGCAGGCTGGTGGTGGACACTCTCAGGGCTCCAATACCTGAATTAGTGTGCTGGGTATTCAAAAGACAGTGCTTTAGGCTAAGTTTTTAATAGACATTTCAAGCAACTCAAAGAGAAATCTTTGACAAAAAGTGACAAGAGTTTTCTGAATGTGCAGTTCTAATTCAGATCCAATTAGGTGGGGAGTGGGGAACACAGTACTGTCACTGCACAAAATTCACCTTCTTAAGAGCCAATTCCAGCAACTTGAAGCCAGCATGATTTGGCTTCAAGTCAGATTGTCTCTTTCCAGCTGCAGTGCTTTGTGTTCCGGAATGATAATGGGAGAGATTTGATACCCAGCAATTCCGGTGTCAAAGCACTGGATCCCTTTTGCTCTGTGGAAGGCTGCTTCTTCATAAGTAGCAATCATGGTGTTACCAAGAGTGGCAACAGTGCTGGCTGCAGTGCTGTAAGCATCTTTGTCCTGAGTGGATGGAACCTTGTCTTAGCTTCCAGTCACCAACAGCATCCTCGGTCCTTTACAATAGTGGGTAAAGGTGGTGATGATGATGATAGCAGGGGCGAGTCAGTGACTGGTGGATAGCATTTTAATATTTACGAAGCAATTTCACATCCATTAGTTCATTCGATCTTCCATTCCACTCTGCAAGTGAAGGTAGGAAAAAGATCTTTTTCCATATTGTAAATTAATAGATGGGACTCAAAGATCTTAAGTTGTTTGCGTAGGACCACAGAGCATATAAGTACAGAGCTGGGATTTCTAATCCAAACATTCTCCCCCTTGCTCCTCTATATGCAACTGGACCTGGAACACTTATCTCTCAGTAGATGTGTAGGCCTGAAATATTGCTTATACACATTTTTCTGTTGTCCCCCAAAAAGCATATTATTTGGCAAAAAGTGAACTTTGATGACTCTTGTGAACTAGTTAGTAGTTCTTTCTTTCCTTAACCATGGATTCTTGAGAAGCTATTTGGGAAAGTGGTTGCTAGAAGGCAGACAGGCCACAACTTGAATATTTTCACTGATTTAGACACTTAAAAAGTAACTGGAAAATGGCCTCTTTTGTTGATACTAACATCCTGAACAGGATGAAGAAATGCTTGGATTCACAGTGAAAAGAGCTCATCAGTGGCTAAAGAAAGCCACATGGAGGGGCTTCTGATACCAAACTGAAGTCTCAAGAAGTATGGATCATCCCTAGGGAGAATGGCCTAGAACACAAGATTCTAAAAAAACAAGTTGGCTGCATGAGGAACAATAGTGGACTTTCAGGCACTTCTGTTGATTTTATCAAAAGCACAGTGGTAGAAATATGAAAAGGATACATGATCAGACAGAATAATATCACCTTGGGAAGGTTGATTGACATCAGAACCCTTTATCCCACCTCCAGTTGATATTACCTGGATTAATTTGCCAGCATCCAAGATCTGGCTCAGACCTGCAGATTACGATGCCAGATTTGTCAAGCACTTCACAAGAACTGAAGTCAGAGACTGATTGGAAAAGCAGAATGCCAGGGTCAGCATTTAGAGTGGGATTAGGAATACTGGATTCCTATCATTAATTACATAGGTAGCCAAATGATGTCAGAAGAGCCAGATCTGAGAAATTAGATCTATAATGGCTTGATAAAGCATCCATATCCACAAAGCCATCAATGAGACCTTTTATTCACTTAGCCATTCATTTAGTCATTTAGTTAGCAAGTTGTTATTGAAGATCTAATATATCTCAGGCTATGTTCCTTCTACAGTTGACTGTACCATAGGGGGTAGGTAATTTTTTTTTTGGTGACACTGGGGTTTGAACTGAGGGCCTCACACTTTCTAGGCAGGTACTCTATCACTTGAACCACGCCTCCAGCCCAATAGGTAAAGTTCTTGAGCAAGATCACACTCTGGCCTGGGCAGTGCTAACTGGGCCTTGGTGATTCCTTCATCTTTCATTGCATGATTGACGTGATATGTGTGTGTGTGTATGTGTGTGTGTGGTTGTCCTATTCTGTCTTCAACTTATTAATAATACTGTCCGTTAGATTACTGGGAAGAATGTCTGGCTCCAGAGACATCCTGTTTGTTTGAAGTTTCTTTGCTCTGAGGCACTGTGTGTTGATTTTATAGATGAACTCTCTGAAAATATTAGTCAACCTTTTCCTTTGTGAATTTTCAAGAGTGTGTAGGGAGTGCAAGATAGGTATGGGACTTCAGAATTGTTGCAATGTGCCTACTAAAGTGTAATCAAATGAAGAGAACGAAATTAGTGAAAACTTCACCTTACTTTTCAAGCTCTCCTATTTATTTCATAAAACTGATCGTTGTCAAATCTCAACACCACCCTTAGTGCAGTTGTTATCATAAACAGCATGAACAAGAAGGGCAGTATATCCTAGGTGACCAAGGAGGGCTTTCTAGAATGATGATGAGAGTGAATAGGCAGTAGGAAAAGCGGAGTAAGGTAATGATTTTAAAAAAGGTGCAGGTTTTAGTGTAAATTCAATTTTCCTTCTTCAACATGAGGACCAGGAATTATCTCAATAGGAAAAGAGAGGACAAGACTAAATCTAAGGCTTTCTGAGATCTTAGAGTCAAAAGATTAAGGTTTTTACCTTGACTATGAATCCCCTGACCTCTCTTCCACACACACACATACACACACACACACACACACACATACACACAAACACACACGTACACACCAGTAGTAGTGATAAGTGTCTTTGTCATTTTAAGCCAGAGCTATTTGCTCATCTCAGGTTTAGATGGAGAGTTTCATGAAACAGTAATCCCTTCACCATACTGACACAGTTTAGTCAACATCTGCCCCCACCCTTGACCGCTGCCTTTCTGTCTTTGTAGAAGATATTATTTCCTAATTTCTGAAACCACATTTCCCTTTGATAGGCACTGGAGGCAAAAGTCAAAACAAGAGATCGAAACTTCTCTACTCTTCTGTTTATCTGATTGCTAAGTGATTGTACTGGTCATGCAGTGATTACCCAGTGTGATAACACAGTGAGTCAGCTCACCTGATTCCCCTGGGAGTCCATCAGAAAGGCCACTAGGTCTCATTTGCTGACCAAGACGAGAGGAAGTTGTGTCCAGATTGAACATTATTAAGCTAAATAGGACAGCCGCCATGAGTTGTTTCTTTGATCAGTGGTAGTATTTACCTTAGGGATGTTGGTCCAAGAGTTTGTTTTTCAATTTGTAATGATGAGGGGTCTTCTGTAGTTTGGTCAATAGTGAATTAGATAACCTCTTTCCTCACCTCATAAGGCTAAGTTCTTCCACCTCCCATGAGCGGAATCGCTTGGGTGTAATAGAATGCTTCTGGATTAGGAGCCACAAAATTGCACCATGTTAGCTGTGCAATCTTGAATCCTATAGCTTCCTGGGTTGTCGTGAGGAGTAACATAAATAAGATAATATTTGTTTGAAGTCTGATAAACTAGGGTAAATTTGACTCTGCCACTTACAAGCTGTGGGGCCTTGGGGATCTTATTTGAGTCTTAGTTCTGTCAACTGTAAAAACCTAGACTTAAGATATCAGGAAAACCTTCCCAAAGAATAAACTGTTGAAGTTGCTGCCTAAGAACTAAAGTGAAGAATGGGAGCTGGAATGTGGGGGTGGAATGGTGATCTGTGCAAAGGAAAGTACGAAGGCCAAAACATAATAAGAGATAGACAAAAAGGTCAATCTGAGTGAAGATGGGAGTTGAAAGAAACATGGAGAGTGGCTAAAAATCAAGGCTCAATAAGAGAGTCAACAACTAAATTATTCAGGCAATGTATTCTATTATTTATTTATTTTGGGTGATGGCACTGGGGTTTGAACTGAGGGCCTCACATTTGCTAGGCAAGCAGTCTACCACTTGACCCACTCCACCAG